TATATATATATATATATATCGTTTTCAGGTGGCAAAGATCCCTTACCTTCTGATCGGGGCACTTTATTTTGGTTGTATTTTAGAAATTTCACAATTCTTATGTTTCTTTAGAAAGATAACAATGCGTAACAGCTGCAATAAGGGTATGTGAGGTTCACCTGAAGATAGATGTCAATGGCTCTGTACACCCCATCAAAGCAATCCCTTGCACAATCAGGCAAACATTCTGCAACTGCAAGAAACTTAGTGACCTTGAGGTTCTGATCAGGGGATATCTCTATCAAATACTTATCAACTAATCTACCAACTTTTTTCAACCTCTGCACACACACCTCATTAGAGCCATTTATATCAACAAATTGCTTAATCAACCTTATCACAAAAGTTACATCATAGTAAAGTTTCATATGATGTCCTAAGACTAGTAGATCATCCAAAGTTGCTTGCTCAAGCACCCCACCAATCAATTTCTCAATTTCAATTCTGCAATCTCTACTCAACCCAAACCTTGATACAATCCTTAATACCCAAAATAGCCCTCTACAAGAAAAACTCTTGTTACCAATAGATATGACCCCATAAACGGCTGTTTCTGCAAGACCAGCATACTCAACACTGTTTTTGCAGTTAATCTCTTTTGTTAGAGTCACTATTTTCAGATACTGAAGCAGAAACCTTGTGAGAATTAAGTTGTTGTTGTCTGTTCTGTATGCTCCAATAGTCTGTAGAATCTTCTCAATTATCTTTGGTGGTAAAGTAGTCAAATCCTCAAACCACCATGCTTTATTTGGCAAAGTTGACTTCACAGTTTTGGGAGTAAGTTGTGTTGAACAAGAAAATCTCTTGGCAGAATTGCTCTCAGGAGATGATGGGGATGATGGAGATGAGGAGGTGAAGAGGTTTACCTCTGAATTTTGATCCATTTTTGCAACGATTGCAGCAATAATCTTCTCTAACAGACCATAGCTATCAGCATATGTATAAAGTAGGTCACAATTCTTGAGGCTTGCAACTATTTCATTCCATGTCCAGCAACGGATTCCCTTAAGAAAGGTTTTTGTTTGTTGCAAAAGATTGTTGCTGAAGACCTCTTCACTCATTCCAAGATAAATGGCACAACAATGGAGAATTAGCACATTGTATACAGTGATGGGGATTTTGCCATGGTTGTAACAGAATCTTGAAACCAGTTCAAACCCTTCTGGCCCTCCAGGGAAATCATTGATTTCAATGCTCAAGGTTTTGCTGTGACACATTCTATTTTCTTGGTTCAAGATCTTCTTCATTCTGCCACAGTATTTTGATATGAACTTCTGCAAAATAAATGAACTAGACTGATTCACCTCATGAGAGATTGGTTTTCTCATCATTTTTCTTTGAATCTAACAGTGTTGAAGAAAAAATAAGAAAAGAAAACACTAATGAGTTCCTGGAATACCTTGTCCAAAAGGAACATTTCCTCATTGTTAATGCGGATTTGCAAGTCACTGTGCTTCAGCATAGCTGCTACTTCTGCATTGAGCAAAAACAGATGAAATTGTATTTTGGAGAAAATGGAAATGATTGTATATATATTTTAATATTTTACAATTTTTATATATATATATATATATTTTTTGGTCAGGTTATATGAAAATCTTACCCAATCCTCTTGACCAATGTGGTGCTTCATTGTTTTTATATGGAAGTGTGTTTCATCTTCATCTCACATATCAACCAATCAAATTATGAACAAGGTTCCGACTACAATCACCCAATACTAAGTTACCTATCTAACAATTATTTTGACCCCCAAATATAATATTTTTGTTAATTTTATATTATATAGTCATGCATCTCTACCGTGCGTCCACAGTTTCAATAATATGGTGTTATGGTTTTGGCTATTTCAAGATAGATTCCATGTACGTATGACAAGTTCTGAAGCATTTGCAAATTAACTTTTGACGCAGGGAGTGTGTGTGTGGCAAAATTGTCCTCTTGTTTGAACAAGTTGTCCTATATCGTAAAATAAGATAGATTTTAAAACAACGTGACAATGATTTTTTGCTGGCTATTGAAAACTAAATGCTGGTGCAACGAATGGCGATGGAGCATGCCAGGGATTGTCTGACAGGTCAATAAGTGTAACCCAAAGATTTTTTTGTCTCTAATAATTTTCAGTTGTCACATTGATTCAACTATTTGTATTTTTTTTTATTTAAGAAGTTTAATTGAATTGAGTTTAAGCTGTCCATTTTTTTTATTAAGAAAGTTTAACTGAATTGAGTTTTAAGATTTATGAGGGGTAAAGCAGATTGGATACATTGAAAATTACTTATATATTATTATCAACAAGATCTTCACATTGAAAAAAAAATTGAACTTATGTATTTTAGAAAATGAATTTATTTCTTACAAAGTGATTTATTTTATTTTTAATTAGTTGTACAATGCAACGGCTTTGGAGTTTGGATTTACTTGAGTGATGCAAATGGTGAACATGTGAAGATGGACATGACTGGTAGACAGGGGAGGTAGGAGTTAATGAATGGGGCCAAGGCCAAATCTGCCCTCTAATGTACAAAATATATATCATGAATTTTATAATGTGGGAACACAATACGCGAGTACCAAATTGGGAGTAAAATTTGCCAGATTCGGAATTTCCAAGACAAAAGAAATAATTATTAATTAAGCTTAAAATTTCTTATAAGATATTGACAAGTTTGTCCCATTAACAAACAATTAATAATAAATAGTTTATAATTCCAAGATAATTATAATTATATAAGATAAAAATCAATAAATACATTCAATTATAAATAATAAATTAACAAAACTTTAAGCATAGTTTCTAATTAGTATTGAAGTTTTATTTCAATGATATACATTTGCATTTAATGCAAGTATTGTAAATACATATTTATGTATGGTGTCGAGATAAAATTTTAATTTTGATTGAAAAATTATACCAATCACATCTACGAAATTATATATAATTTTATTTATAATAAATACGATCATTTTTAACATTTAAAAAATTATATGAGGGAAAAACTTAAAAGAAATAAACCTATTTATAAAATAAATATAAATAGTTATCTTGAGTTTTCAATTATTTCTCTTTAATAATAACATTTTCATATACTTTTCCTTTCCTTTTCTTTAAAAGAAGAGTTTTTAGAGTTTTTTTTTTAATTTCTTATGCATTTTAATTTGTAATAATAATAATAATAATAATAATAATTATTATTATTATATTATTATCATTATATTATACTGGTGTAACTTTTATCATTTATTATATTCTTCAACAACTTTATATAAAAAGAGAATGTGAAGGGATAATTTTATATTACCTTGAGTACTAATGCCAAATTTCGTTAAAATTGAAAAACAATAAGAAACTGATTCAATTATTCATGTTTTAATATATTTTGAAAAGTATACAGTATATCAATTTTTATTTATATAAATGAAATATCAAATAATTTTATATTAATATAAAAACTTATATATATATATATATATAATTTAAGTAAAAGGAACTTTTAATTTAACTTCACTTTTTATATAAAGTTATTGGATAGTGTAATAGTTAATAAAAGTTATATTGATATAATTTGATCCCTTCGCCTCCCTCTCTCTCTCTCTATATATATATATATATATATATATGTATATATATATAATATTCTCTTTCTATATATATATACACATATATATATATATATATATATATATGTATATATAAATATCATCTATCAAATTTAATTTCAAAAAATATTTAATGCTACTCTTCCATCCAATTTTATTAATGTTGTTAACGTCAATTTGGATGAAAAAAATAATATTAAACATTTTTTTTAAATTAGATAACTAAATTAAACCATTTAAAAATAATATAATTAAATTTAATCTTAAAAATAAAAAAGGGAAAAAATATAATTTAACTTAATAGAACAATAAAATTTAGGATTTTAGGTTATGATTTTATATTATAAGATATCTTATTTAAATAATTATATATAAATAGGGGTGGAAGTGTAGGGTATGGTGAGTACTATTGTATTTGTACGAATCCATATTTATAATGAATTTTGCTAGTAAATCTCCACCTTAACTTTATTAGTGGGGTTTTAGCCCTACTAAGAGTATTTTGTTTTTCTTGGTAACTAAAGTTTAGACACATTTTATTATCCCTAGCAAAGAAGTAAGCTACTAATGACTCCTTTGGTTGTTTAGTAGCAATGACCTCCAACGTGACAATGAAGCATTGATTCTTGTGATGACAATAATTATGAACTTATTTGTTGGGTATTGGGCTCCCTTCATATGTGGAGAAAAGGCCTAAAATTGAGAAGCTCACTTGATGTCTCACTTAATTAAGTGGAGAGAAGGTTTGAAGCACAAGAGTGAGAAAGAGAGAAAGTCAGAAATCACTTAGAGCACCAGCACTTTGAGAGAGAGGAAGAGAGAAAGTCATTCTCGATTTTACACAGGGCTGCGACAGTAAAATCAGTACTGCAGATTCGTTCACCGTTGGATCGGGCCGAAAATTGGATAGCAGGTTCGTGACATCCAGTTCTTCATTCTAACCGGTTGGATCGTTGAAACGAGGTCTGAGTAGGGAGGTATTCAGTTCGCACTGTAGTTGTGTATTTGAAGTTTTTTCATCTTCTTTGTTCTCTATTCGTAAGCTTTATAGCTTTGTTGTTTGGCTGGGTGTTAGCACTATTTTGTGCAGTTGATTGAGACTCTTTTGTACTCTTTGTTGATCATAGTAGAGCTATTTCTTTGGTCTGGACAACTCGTGGTTTTTACCCTTGCTTTGAGGGGTTTTCCACGTTAAAAATCTCGGTTTCTTTATGTGTGATTTTTGGTGATTTATTATTTTTGTTCATTGGTTGTTGCTCCTCACAGATTCTTGCAAGTTTGGCGAATTTATTTCCGCTGCGATAACTGTTTGAGTTTCCTCTGTGTTGTTATTATTGCTGTTTCCCATCAGAGTGGTATCAGAGCTCTTGTTGGCTTTGGTTTGGGGCTATTTGACTTGCTTGAATCATGGAGGCAGATACTAAAATGATTGCTTTGAATGGCACTAATTATCACTTGTGGAAGGGCAAGATGAAAGACTTTCTATTTGTGAAGAAAATGCATCTTCCTGTCTTTACTACTCAGAAGCCGGATTCTATGTCTGAAGAAGATTGAGACTTTGAACACCAACAAGTGTGTGGTTTTATTCGGCAATTTGTACAAGACAATGTTTATAATCACATTGCTAATGAGACACATGCTAGAACTTTATGGGAGAAGATTGAGTCCTTGTATGCTTCTAAATCAGGGAATAATAAATTGTATTTATTGAATTGTCTGATGAATTTAAGGTACAGGGAGAGTTCTTCCATTTCAGATCACTTGAATGAATTTCAAGGGCTCCTAGATCAGTTATCCAGAATGGGTATCAAATTTGATGATGAAGTTTTGGGACTATGACTACTGAATACTTTACCTGAGTCTTGGGAGACATTTCGGGTTTATATTACCACCTCGGCCCCTAATGGTGTTGTTTCTTTGCAAGCGACAAATAGTGGTGCTCTTAATGAAAAGATGAGAAGGAAGGCACAAGGTTCTTCATCTCAGTTTGAGGTACTTGTCACTGAAAACAGGGAGAGAAGTCAGAAGAAGAACCGAAAGGTGGTAGAGAAAAGAGCAGGAGTAAGTCCAAGTCTAGATACAAGAATGTAGAGTGTCATTATTGTCACAAAACAGGACATATACAGAGGAATTGTTTTCTATGGAAAAAGGAGAATAAAGGCAAGAAGGGTAAGCAGAAAGAAAAGGACCATGATGATGATCATCGTGTTGCTACTGCTACTTGTGGTGATCTTGTTATTCTCAGTGACCATGAGTCAGTTAATCTTGTATCAGATGAGAGCATGTGGATTGTTGATAATGGTGCTACACTGCATGTTATATCAAGGAAGGAGTTCTTCACATCTTACACTTCTGGTGATTTTGGAGTGTTGAAGATGGGTAATGATGGTGTGTCTAAAGTGATTGGTGTTGGTGATGTTTGCCTGCAAACCAACATGGGAATGCAGTTGTTGCTTAGAGGAGTCAAACATGCTCCTAATGTCCGTTTTAATTTGATCTCTATGCAGATACTTGATGATGGTGGTTATGATAACCACTTTGGTTCTGGAAAGTGGAAACTCACCAAAGGTAACTTGGTTGTGGCTAGATGGGAGAAAAATTCCAAACTGTATTGGACAAAAGCTTTGGTTGCTAAAGACAGTGTGAATGCCATGGATATGGAGGCATCTTTGTGGCACCAAAGGCTTAGTCATATCAGTGAAAAGGGATTGAATTGCTTAGCTAAAATGGATGTTCTTCAAGGGTTAAAGAGTGCAGAATTGGAGAAATGTTCTCATTGCATGGATGGCAAGCAAACCAGAGTATCCTTCAAGAAGCATCCTCCCTCAAGGAAGTCAAAGTTGTTGCAATTGATACATTTTGATGTTTGTGGTCCATTGAAGGTGAAATCCTTTAGTGGTGCACTTTACTTTGTTACCTTTATTGATGATTATTCCAGGAAACTATGGGTCCATGCTTTGCAGGGAAAAGACCAGGTGTTGGAGAGGTTCAAAAAATTTCATGCCTTGGTTGAAAGACAGTCAGGGAAGAAGCTGAAACGCATTCGTACTAACAATGGTGATGAGTATTGTGGACCCTTTGATGTTTATT